GCTATAGCGTGTAGGGTGGCCTAATATAAGGCCAGCGAGTAACGTGTAATGTGGCCTAAAAATAGGCCAAAGCACTAATATATACTAAGATATAAAAAGTTACGTTTCGTGTAAGGTGGCCTATTAAAAGACTAAAATTCAATTTAATAATAGTTACAATTAATTAATATTTATAAAACTTTGTATTTATTTAAGTTTCAATATTGTTGAGGCATTCCTGAAGTTTCTTAATCATAGGCTTCTTGGTTGATTTTTAACTGATTTTTAAAGTTGGATTGGCCTAAAAATAGGCCACCCAACGCGCGAAGGGTTAAGTTACTTCTATATTATTTGCTTGTATTTACGGCTAAGATTGAAGGCTATACACCAGGAGTTGGTGTCCAGTAAGCAAAAGCCATTCAATAAATTAAGATTACGTCAAATTATGTTACGATTGAACAAAATTCTGTTAGAAATCGCTGAATATAACGCCACCTATTGGTCAAAGATATTGTTCTCGTTTTGGTGTACAGTGGGTTCGGCCACTACTTTGATATTATTTCTAGCGTTCTTTGTTTATACACAATATATCATGCTTTTTGTCTACGTTTATGTCGGTATTTTGGATGCAATCATATTTTTATTTGTTATATTCACCGCATCGTCTGTTAATTACGAGGCTAATAGAACTTATAAGATTATGCTTGATTATTTTGTTTAATAATAGAATTTTGCTTTAATTTTATTTTATATCAAAAATATTGCAAAATAGATTAGCATTTTTGTGTATTATAATATTGGATTAATAATTAAATGTATCTTAATAAACTTACAATAATTATCTCTTATTCACGTGCATATTTTAAAACTGTAATTATTAATTTTTAAATATTGTATCTTATTTATAATAAAAATATATTTATCACATACAATAATGTTTTATGATTAATTCTTAATTAGATTAAATAAATACAAATATTAACTCGTTTTCTTTTTGTATCTAATATAAAATATAGCACAATACAAAATGTATTAGTATTATTTTGAGTACTGATCAGTCAATAAGGGCCGTGGGTTTGTGTAACTATTTTTTTAATTACATTTAAAATTATAATATAATAATACTATGCTAATTAAAATGTTTCTAACCTTGAAAGTACATATATGTATTGTAATATGCACTCATTACATGATATATAATGCTTATTACACGTACTCCGGTAATTAGAAAATAATTAAATAATAATTATGTTAATATATAATGTATTTATATCATAAATTTAGTAAGCCAAGTTTTACTTACCACAATTGACGTAGTATAAATAGAAAATGTATATGGATATTTCTTTGTTTTGTAATCTCCAAGATCATTAGATTAAAATAATTATTGTATTTTATTTCTAATTTCATATGAATTAAATAAATTGAATTAATTATCCAAAAAATTCTACATTTCATATGGCATAATAAAATAATATCTTAGCCTTGTAATATATTTAATTTAATAATTTATTTAGTATTTATTTATAAATATATTTGATTTGCCGTAATCTAGTAAAAATGAATACCGATATTCATATTAACTCATTACTGCCGCCGAAAATTAGCTACAAATGGGCGTCAATTCATTTGTATAGAATTGGTTTGGATTTGTTTGAAACACATTATAATTGCGGTCACAGAAAGTGGTTTTGCAAACCTATTCTGGCATTTATTGTATTTAATTTATTTTATACTTTTAAAATATTGTGCCTATTTATTGATGACTATCAAATATCGATTATGCTTGGTGACTGGGGTAATTTGTTTGGCTCAAAGTACGTAACTAACTTTTATTTCATCGCGATCGCATTGGCGGCCATGAATTTCCAGCATATATTTTACTATAACTACTTGAATGGCATTAAACCCACATTTCTGGCCGTATTCCACATGATGTCGGGTTTGGTTACTCCCAGACAAGTGGGTATAACAAACACGAGCCATGTTTTAATGCTTATTAAACGTACTAGATTATTATGCACATTTGCTCAATATAACAGCCAATATTTTATTCCCATTCTGGGTTTTCTCGTTGTATTCGTGCCGTATATGATGTTTACATCGATGACAAATACATTGCTTTTTGGTTTACCCCATAGCATACTAGGAATCATTTGGTGCCGGTATTTCTGGAGCTACTTTTTATACCCATTAAGTTATTTCTATATTATTTGTTTGTATTTACGACTGAAACTAAACACTATACACCAGGAGTTGGTGTCCAGTAAACAAAAGCCATTTAATAAATTACGTTTGCATCAAATTATGTTACAATTGAACAGAATTACAATAGAAATCGCTGAATATAACGACACATATTGGTCAAAGATATTGTTCTCGTTTTGGTGTACAGTAGGGTCGGCCACTATTTTGATATTATTTCAAACATTATTTGTTTACACAAATTATATCATGCTTTTTGTGTACGTTTATGTCGGTGTTTTCGATGCGACCATATTCTTATTTATTATATTCACGGCATCGTCAGTAAATTATGAGGCTAATAGATCTTATAAAATTATGCTTGATTATTTTGTTAAATAATAGAATTTTGCTTTAATTTTATTTTATATTACAAATATTGCAATTTAGATAAAATAGATTAATACTTTTGTGTTTTATAATATTAGATTAATAATTAAATTTGTTTTAGTAAACTTTAAAAAGCATATTATACATATACTTTTCAAATTACATATTATGTACTAATTGTAATATATAATTAGAAATTATTACACAATCTATAAAATATGCTTTATGCTTATTTTACACAATGTAATTAATTATTTTAAGTAAATTAACAAATAATTATTTTTCGGACATTAACGTGCATATGAATGTATTTTATTGTACAATAATCGTCCATTTTCATTAATATAAATTAATTATGTATTAATTGGATTGTTCAAATAAATGTACGATCAATTGTATTTTTAACATAAACAATTTCTTGCAATCTTATTTTTATTAAAATAAATAATTATTTTGAACATGTAATTATTTAGAAATTAACTTATTACTATTCTAAAAGAACAACATATTAATTATAATATCATTATACTCTAATTTATACTAGATTAATTATAATTATACAATTGTTATATGGTGTGAGAATACAATATTTATCTTGGCACAAATTTTATTGAGGTAAATAAAGTCAACTCGTGGACTTATTTTGTACTCTGAATTTATTGCATTATATTTATACAATAAGCCCATGAAGTTTATAAGTTATACAAAATTAATTTTTGTATAAACTGTGTCATATACATGTTATTGTTATAGTCAATAGCAGATTTATTTTGTATTTTATTTTAAAAAGTATAAGTAAAATGGATTACAAAATTAATATAAATAAATTACTGCCGGCGAGTGTTGGCTACAAATGGGCGTCAATTCATTTGTATAGAATTGGTTTGGATTTGTTTGAAACACATTATAATTGCGGTCACAGAATATATTATCACAAACCGATTCTGGTGTTTACTGTATTTACCATATTTTACATTAACAAAACTATATGCTTGATAATCAATGATGAACAATTATCTATTGTACTTGGTGATTTTGGGCACCTATTACAGAACCGAGTGTTAACTAACATGTATTTTATTTTGCACGCGTTAACAGCTATGAATATTCAATACATATTTTTTTATAACTATATTAATGGTATTAAACCCACATTTCTATCGGTGTTTCATATGATGTCGGGTTTGGTTACCCCCAGACAAGTGGGTCTAACCGATGCTAACATTGTGGTAATGCTTATAAAACGAACTAGGTTATTGTGCAAAATTGCCTTTCAAAACAGCGTGGTCATAATACCGTTTCAGGCAATTCAAATAGTGGTAATACCTTATTACACATGTACATTTCTGACAAATACCTTGATGTTTGGAGTGCCCAATGGCTTACTATTTGCCATTTGGTGCCACTATTTCTGGAGTTACTTTTTATACTCATTAAGTTATTTTTATATCATTTGCCTATACTTTAGACTACGATTGAAAGCAATACATAAACGTATACTAGAACTAAAAGGAAAGCCCTTTAAAATACGTGCAATTCATACTTGTATTAAGCAATTAAATAAAATATACGTGGAAATCAATGAATACAACGACACATATTGGTCAAAAATATTGCTCTCGTTTTGGTGTACATTTGGTTCGGCGACAGTATTGCTACTCTATTACACTGTATTTGTTTCGCAGCACATCATAACGTGCATCGTTTGTATCAATATATTAGGCTTAAATTTATTAATATTTTTGTTTGTGATATTCACGGTTTCGGCGGTAAATAGCGAAGCAAATAAATCGCATAAAATTTTATCTAGTTTTGTAGCACATGACATATTTTAAAATAATTCACGAAACCATCAAAATGATTAAATGCATAGAAATGCATATGAAATGCTAAATTAAATGATTATTGTATATTAGTAAGAATTTAAGTAAGATTTAAGTTTTAATATATAGTAAAATTGTAGATCATGTCAGATCATTAGATCACAAAATTTATTGTTTCATGAAAATATAAGATTACATTTGAAAAACTTTATCTAATATTCTAATATCTAACATATTATCACAATAATATTAAAATAATTGCGTTAGTAGTAGAAGTGTTGACTGGTGTGGGTATATAGTGTCAGTCAAAATCTGACCGCAACTGACCCCTGGTTCCCAACTCGTCGGCAGTGATCTCTACAAACACGAACTTAGAGTCGATGGCTTTTATACCTAATTCGCGTTCAAAATGTTTGCTCAACTCTTCAGTCGCCGTACGGTTGACAGCGGCCGAGGGTTTCCCGATATGACGGAGTGTTGCCAACGAGAACGGTCCGTCACTTTCCGGATTCAGACCTATAAAATAACAATAGAATAAATGTTAGTTTTACAAATTATATTGTATATTTTAACTAAAGTTTAAGAATAAATTAAATATGTTAAATTAACATTGTGAAAAACAATTGTTAGTTCTATTTAGCATTTTATATTTTATATATCAATAAAGTTTTTATTTATTATCCCAATGACCTTGATTAAAGTTAGATAAAACTTTTATTAAATTCGCAACGTATTAAACATAAGTTTAAAAATAATAAATTAAAACATTCAATTATCGTATTTAACTTGTATAATTAACTAACAACGTTAAATCTATTTTTAAAAAATCAATTAAACAGCAAAATTAACTGACCTGAGTAAAAAATTTGATCACAGTTAACGCAAATAGTCATTGCCTTAATGGGTTTATTGAGCACTTTGCCCAACAACTGAGCCGTATTGGCCGCAAATTTAGCCGGTATTTGGCTCCGGGCTAGTGATGTGTACACTTGGAGTATTGGCATTATTATGATTAAATTCAGACTAGGTCAGATATTCAAAAATATATATTAAAGAATTAATTTTTATTAGAATTAAACTGTAAACAAAATATAAAGTTCAGACTTGTAAATTATGTAGAATTAGATAATTTTGTAGATAGTTTTTATAGTTTTTAGTATAAAAATTGCATAAATATTTTTGATTGACTGTACGCATGCATTTATTGATATTTATAAATAACTAAACAAGCGCCTTCTTAAGTTTGTTAATTACACTGTTGTGATTACGGTAAAAATTAGGTTTTAATATATAGTATATTATTACAAACTTTAAATATATTTAACCGATGAAATTTAAACTTAACGCAAGAGAGAGAGAGAGAGAGAGAGAGAATTTTATAGTATTTTGTAAATTTATTTTTGCAAATCAAACATAATGTATAAATAGATAATTTAAATAACATTTATATTTAAAAATAAATATTATTACTATTAAAATGTCAAAAGTTTGGCCGTGGATTAGTTCAGTTTGTTATTTGTTGGTCATACGTACTTAATTATACATTGGACCTAGTTGTAATTTAAAATTGTATTTTATTATAATTGGCAATTTTGCATTACATTTATATAATAAAATAGTTTGTACTTAGTTTTTCATTACTATCATTCTAAATGTTAACTAATTGTTAAATATACGCTAAACTATATTTATTAATTATCAAAATATATTTCTACAAATAATTAACTTTGTATAAATATAATCATTATTTAAACTAATATTCTATGAAAAAAGTTTTACATTGTATATAAAAATGTATAAATACCATTTGTAAAATTATTTAATATATGAATTAAATAATTATTTAAAAATAAAGTATTATTCCTAAGTCTTTACAATGAGCATAATATTAAATCTTGATAAAGAATTACCTAAAGAATTGCGTGCAAATGGTGCTAATGGCTATTTATACCGCATTGGATTATCTTTATACAAACCAAAATTATGCATGATAAAAAGGCATCATTTATTTCACCCAATTGTTGTTTTAATTATTCAAATAATAATGTTAATTAAATGTTCATTTATGTTATATTTATATATAAATGGCATACAATTATTGTGTGATAATTATTATCTATATTTTGGTGACACTGATCATTTTGCAAAATCCAAATATGCTGCAAATTCAATAATGATATTTATAATAATCTATGTCTTATTAATGCAATTAATAAATTACGCAAATCATAGAAATGGTGTAAAACCCGTGGATTTGCGCGTATTTCAAATGATAGCCGGTATTATTGCCCCCAAAAGTATAGGCATTTATGATAAAAAATTTGTTTACAAAATATGTAGACTATTTAAAAAACTAATTGCCCTTCATCAAATAGTGGCTATACTTGTTACAGTGATTGCATTAATTTATCCATTTTATTTCTTTATCATGTTTGATTCTAGTCATGTACATTTAATTTTAATTGGCATAGCTCACTCAATATTGTTTCCATTTTGGGTTTATATTGCATTCAGTATAATGTCGTATCAAACCGTGTATTACATTGTAATCACAGTTTATCTCAAATCTAAGATTAATGCATTGAATACTAAAATCCGTAATAAATTACTTAAAGGCAAACGATTTATTAGTTTTATAAGAATTGAGAATAATTTCAATAGTATTTACGCTGAAATCTCTGAGTATAATGCAATTTATTGGTCAAAATATTTGCTTGTTGTTTGGCAAACACTGAGCTTAATTATAAGTTTATTAATGCACCTATCACTTTTTTCAAAAAATTTATTAATTTTAAAAATTAGCACCATGGTTGATACAATATTTTATGCAATTTGTCTACTATTTATAATTCATGTTTCCTCATTACTATATAATGAAGCAAATTATACCTATATTTTGCTTAATTCATATATTTCGCAACCATATAAAATTCCCATATACACCAAATTAAAGGTATGTACAATATGTATATGTAATATAGTTTATAAAACTTTATTTAGTCACTCTTTTTATAAAAACTATATTATAAATTAAAATCAATCAATTATATATCATCTAGATTATAAATCTAATTGAGAGAATTGGCTGCAGAAAAGTTGGTTTTTATTGTTGGAAACTATTTATTATAAACAGATTTAGAGGCTATGAAGTAATTGTTATACGAATTATTATAATATTTAATTTTGATAAACTTTAATTTATTTAACAATTATTTGCAGATTATATCATTTGGTATTATGTTTTTCATGCGATTAATTTAAAATAAAATTATGTATCAATAGATTAAATTTGAAATACACTTAAATAAGTAAAGTTATTACAATGTTTATGTTTCATTAATATATTATAACTTATTAAAATAATGCGACATAGAAACATTTTCATTACCTAATTATAATACAAATGTTTTGTCTAGTATAGTAAATAATATATGATTTACAATAAATATAAATGTAGGATGCCAATTAAATATATGCTGAGTCGCGATAAATAGACAACTATCTGAAATAGAGGCCACATATGGCGCATCCAGTATGCAATAATAAAATTAAAACCATCATAATAAATATAATAAAGTATTCAGTCATATGACAGATACTCTGTAGTGTGAAAACTAATTAAAAATGTACCCGGTACTTGTGACAGCATTATCATCAGTGTGTTTATTAATTTCGGGTATAATTACCCTCGTGATAGGAATTGTGTTTTATGTGGCAAGGTGCTTTTACGACGTCCATGAAGTGTACGCCATGTCGGTTACATTATTAGTGTTTGGCACACTAATCATCACGATCAGTTTGGCCGGTTTTGTGTTGGCATTTTTAGCTGGACGGCGCCGCCGGCGTCCAATTAATAATGACCATGGTGATGATGCATGAATATTCTCTGAGCTTTGTTGTAACTTATTAAAAGTGTGGTTTTCTATGATTATATAAATTTATTTATTTATTACTCTTATATATTGTGTTATTTTATTAAAAATATGAATTTAATTTATAAATCAATCTTTTAAAAATAAAATATTGCATGTTTATTTTGAAATGGCATAATATTTTTATTTAGGTGAGAGAGAGAGAGAGAGAGAGAGAGAGAGAGAGAGAGAGAGAGAGANAGAGAGAGAGAGAGAGAGAGAGAGAGAGAGAGAGAGAGAGTAGAAAAATACAAGTCACTTAAAAAGTTCATAGTAGAAAAACTAAACAACTGCAAAATCATTACTTACTGTAATATTTATTCTAACTGTAAGAAAACATAAAAATACACAAAATATACTTACATATTGTATTAGAAATCCACTACACAATCAAATTAATATGGGTAATTTCATCTCGGTAATACCATTAATAATGACGCTCACATCGGCCATGTGCATGCTAATAACCGGAGTGATTCTGTTGGCGTTTGGCATAATATTATACACGAGCTTGGTGCTCTCATACTGGTGGTGTTGCTATCAGCCAATGGCCATCAGCGGTGTTGTGTGCATGATATTTGGTTCCCTATTAATTGTGATGTCTGTGTTTTGCCTGATTATAGGCCTTGTGTTTAATAGCGGTTCAAATGATGATAGAAATAACAATAATAATAAAAAAGTTGTGACGGGTGTGGAGTCGATGCCACCGCCCAACCGTCGTCGGGGTTTAGATAGCGGACCAGGCAGAAATTACGCCATGGCATCTGTGGTGTGATTATTATGTTGATGTATTTCACTTTATATGAACTAGATAAAATCTGTTATTTATATTTTTTAAATATTTTACAACTTAAAATGTACTTAAATCTTAGCACATTATATAAAATTGTAAAATTTAGTTGTGTATATTGAATTTTTAATAAAATTACATTACATTATTTATAAACAACATGAATAAGCTATAAGTGCTGCTACTGTTAGCGCCGACGAAGTATTTTTTTGCGCCCAGAAATAGGTAGCGATAAATATCATAAACACCACGATAGTTTTAACATACTGGACGATGTAAATAAAACTTTAATTATAAACACTTTACATTTAAATGATATCAAAAGTACACAAAATGCAAAAATACAATACAATATAGCATTGACTCCTATTTACGAAGAATAGTGAAATGTTATAGTTATAAATGAAATTTAGACGCGTGTTTGCATTTATTAAACAGAATAAAAATTTACAAATAATAAATATTTAAATCACATGTTACAATTAATTTTACAGAATTTTAAACAAATATTTATTAATTGCTGTACATTTAAATTTTAAGGTTTACTGTATTCCTGGATTAGGGACGTTTAATTTGTATATGATGTGTTTAATATAATAATTGTAAAGTACTATTGGGAATTAAAGCAAATTAACTATCATAAATAGCCATTTGAATGATTTTTAATAAAAACACAATTAAAAGTGTGATGAGCTGTTTGTATAAATAATATATAATTATTAATTAATTAACTTTACCATATTAATTGTATACTCACTTCATAAGAGCGCCAATAATTAATTGTAAAGAATATATAACACGAAAAACCAAACTTTTTTTCAGACATCCTTTCCATTAATGTTAATAACTATTACAAACATATTTAAAACAAACACATATTAAATATTATTTTACAATGTAAATTAATTTAAAAGTATACATACCTTAATTTGAATTTTGAACCATCTTGCGCGGATAAATGTATTTGATTTGAAAAATGTATTGTAATATTTTCTAACAATTTTATGTGTGTGTTTTGCCTTACAATTAACGGCCGAAGCCGTGAATATAATGAATAAAAACAGTGAGTTAAGCAAAACAGAGCAGTAAATCATAAAAATTTTTAGCAAAGATATATAATTATAAAACATTGGAATCATTATATATATTATAAGTATTGAACCAAAATCTATCCAAAATACAAACATATATTTAGACCAATAACTAGTGTTGTATTCATTGATTTCAGTGTATAAATTTGTAATATCTTTAATAATATTCATTGAATTATTAATTTGATTTTTACTAATCATATCAATGTATTTAGCATTTAATGCATTTATTTTAATGATAATGAATTTACAAATAATATAAAAATATAACATTTCATAAAAAAATATATTACAGGCATAATGAA